TAATAGGTGGTCAATGAGGTTAAATATATTGACGGCTCTGAGAAGCCCTGGGGACGAGGGGGAGGGAGGGAGAATGTTCCTAATAGTGCTTAGCTTCATCTTTTCCTAAACATACTTACCTCTGACCTCCCATCCCTTCCTCTCAGCCCTTTGCCATCCCTGGAAATGCAGTTCGGGAAGCACACTTTAAGGAAAGCTGTTCTCCTTATACCCTTGTTTAATCTAAAGCAAAGGTTCTCTTCCTCAAATCTGTCACTGTGCACCACGTTCATGGTTTTTGCCACGCCTCTGTGTCACCCATGTCATTCATTCCGTAATATTTGTCTTTCAATCCACTCACTTTTGAAAAACCTTAAAATTGTTTTCCACAGGACCCATTGTATCACTGTCATAAATGGAAAATTGGTTTTTAAGAAACATACCAGAGGAAATGCCCAGGTGTTATTGGTGAACCCCTCCAAGGGCCTCAGGGATGTGCCACATTCGGGAGATTCCATTTGGGTTGCTGTGCGGTAGTTGGATCTCACCACCAGGAGTAGAAAGAACTGGACAGTTAACTAAAGAGGCAGCGGAGAAGGGAGGGTTCTACAAGTTTACCTTCCTGAACGGGGCTGGATTCCCACTGCAGTTGCCTGGGCCACGAAATAGTCTGCCTGACCGAGCCCCCACCCTGCGCCTCCTCATCCGGTGGCTTTGTCATCCTCACCCTTGTGGGGTAATCGCTGGGGGCACCCCCACCCCCTCCTCGTTCCAGGCAGATGTAGAAAATTGCAGCTGAGAGACTCAGTCCTCGGGGAGAGGAGAGCCCAATCGTTGACAGATGGGTCGCCGGCTGGTCACAGAAGGAGAGTACACTGGCCGCACCAGTAACTGTGCTGGGGGCGAGGCAGAGAAGCTGGTCGAACCCTCAGGACCCCCGAGCTGCCCATCTCATTAGGAGGTCTGAGTGCTGACAGTTCCTTGTCAGCAAAGTGCCCCCTGCCTCACCTATCTAGGCGGTTTTCCAGATGGAGTGTTAGGATTTGATTAAAATACTCTGTGGGTTGCAAAAAGAGCCAGGTGTCTTTGGGCGATCTCCAGCTGAGCTGTGTGCACCGGAGGGCCAGAGAGGGGGAACTCCCATGAACCGGAGGAGAGAGTTGCCCTCACATCCAATTACCAGGGCTGCAGCCATCTGTGCTGCCTCCTTCAGCAGTCTCGCCCTCACAGGCTCGCTTTCTCACCTCCGTCAGTGTAGATGGGGTGGAGGTGGGGCGGCGCCTCTCCACAGCCGGCAGACAGTGAAGGGGGCCCCTGCCCCACAGCCGCTTCATCATCCCTCTTAGCATTTCTTTAAGTGTAAAATTTTAAGAGACTAGGCAATGCAAGGTTTTCAAACATTATTTTGTCACAGACAGTGAGAGAACATAGCTGAACAACAGCAACCAAAAAGTAGAAGTCAAAGCTACGTGGCTCTGCTCGGAGATGAGTTCTGGTTAATAGCACCTGTGTGTGTGGCCCCCTGGGCTCTGTGGCTCTCAGTCCCCACACACGTGTATGCTCACGTGCATGCATGCACACGCAGAGGACGGGCACCCAGGCGCGGAAGCCCGACTCCTGGGCCCGCAGTGGGTGCTGGTGCCTTGGGGCCCTGGTCAGGCTTTGGTCTTTTCCGCTCCCCTTGCCTCGCGCCTGCACAGGCTGACGGGCGCCTGTGGTGGGATTTGTGTTGGGTTGAAGGCCCCTGTTGGGATGAGCCTCAACCATGGTCTCGGCCTCTTTCACACGTGGGTGGTTTCTGCGGCCTTTCCTAGTTAGGGTGCTCTTCGTTAATTGATCCATTCCCTTGTCTCATGAGGTGGCAAACAAAACGACATTTTTATTTGATAATCAGGAATGCTACATTCTATGTGGTTCCTCTGTTTACAAATTAAAGTTCTGTTGCCTAGTTGCAAATTACTTGTTCAGAGCCTGGGAGTTATTTTCTTGGGCCATTAAAATGCTAGGTTTTTTTTTTTTAATGCCTTTTGGTGGGGCAAGAACTTTCCAGTTTGCTACAGCTCCTGTCCCCAGACCCTCTTGTCTTAACGCCTCCTTTGCGTTACCCCCAGGCCTCATCTGTCTGACTGCTGTGGTCCTTTGAGTCTGTATCCCACCCTCAGATTGTTATGAGCATTGTTTAAATACGGGGCTGGATAGAACTGCACACATAGGGTGCCCGTGTGGGAGTCCTGGTTTTACTGTCGCATTGTAGTTAGGGAAGACGTAACCACTGGGGAAGACTGGGCAGGGTATACAGGACTTCTCGGTACTATCTTCACAAGTTTCTGAATCCATAATTACCTCAAAATGGAACTTAAAAAGGACTTCATCTTCCCTGGGGTCAGGAGCCAGTTGCCTCTTTGGGGAGGTCAGCGTCCCTTCCAGGTGTTCGAGCTTCATTCAGAAGCAGTTCCACTGACCTGAAAGTGTTTATTTCCCACAAAAGGCAAACAAGTTCATTGGTGCAAAGTTGGCTGGGTTGAATTTATGGTTCCCGAAGGTTGTATCTGTGATACAGTCTCCACAAATTCCCATCGTTTTGGTGGGAGTTGGATTTGTATTAAAATGTTAGGTCTGATATTTAGGTAGTCTTAGGATGCTACTACAGGATTGATCCAAACCAGAAGAAAAGCAGCCGCTTGGACATGGTAGTGCTGGCTGCAGAGATGAAGATGAACAGGGCAGCCGAGGGTGGGCCTGGGTGGTGCGAGCAAGCGACCTGAGACCTGGCAGCCAGAGGTCGACGTGACTCACCTGTCCGTCAGCCTTAACGAACCTGCCTCTTGGACAGCATTCTGCATGGACTGTTGTTAAATTCTGCCAAATAGATATGCACATCAATTGCTTTCTTCCCCTCGTTTTAAGATAATACGTGCCTGGAATTCACACGCGGGGCTGAGGAGTAGGGTGAGGTGAATGACAAGATTTGTGCAAGGGAACCCAGGAAAACAAGCTGAACGAACCATGTCTGTCGGGGAGGATTTTCCCTCCTACAAACCTTTTCAAGACTTGTTAGTTGTTTAGCTTCAGAAGTTCGCTCTTTGTGTTACAGACAGAGAAGTTGCCGCCGCCTATAGAAGCATCCGTGACAGGCTGTCTAGGAGGAAGGCAATAATTAAGGTCCTCCATCATGTTTTATGTTCTCTCAAGCTTCTGAGATGAAGGTACAGTTCTCAGGCGACACCTAAGTATATGGTAGTGTCTGCAGTTGGTACTGACATTCCTTCTGCCAAAATACAGCGCAGGAAAGCAAAATACCAACAGAGTGCTGTCTCTGTGGGCTGGGATACAGCCAGACGCACTGAAAACAGACAGACGCAACCAGGGATGGGCAGTCCCAAGTTTTCCCCTGAGCAAATACGTGGCATATTCATACCAAGGTATGGCATTTCCATCCATAAATAGATCAAGTTTTGCAAAGTAAACTCTATATAGTGCATTGGGTTTGTAGTGACTACATGAGCATGGGCGGAGGCATGAAATGTGTGTACCAGGTTTTTAACGTTGGTTGCCAAGGGAAGGGGTGAGTGGAACAGTAGACAAAGGAAAAAATGATTCCAAATGAAAAAATTTAAGGGAGTGTGAAAGGTGTTTTATCTGTGAATAATTACATTCAGGGGTATGTGTGTGTATGTGTGTGCATGCCTGGAGGGAAATGGTAAGATGGATATAAAAAAATTTTTTTTATGTTTTTAAAATGGCATCAGCTCTCTAAATTGTTTAATTAATTAATTAATATCTTTCTTTTTTAATTCTTTTTTTAATTGAGTTATAGTCAGTTTACAATGTTGTGTCAGTTTCCAGTGTAGAGCACAATTTTTCAGTTACGGGTATAAAAATTCAGTGGGGTTTATTTCAAGGTGTTGAGCTTTTAGCTGATTTCTTTTAACATTTCTTCTTAAATGTGTTCTGATTATTTTGCAATGAGTGTTCTATTTTTTATAATCATAAAAGACACTCAATCTTGAAGCACTTTTCATCGTGAGGAAGTACTCCAACATGTTTAAGAGCACTCAGATTCAAGACCTTGTTGGGGGAGGAGCAGAAACAGAAAATGTGCAAGAGGCACCTCTCTCTGGGGTAGCCAGTGAGAAGCCAATTCCACATCCCAAAAGAGACAGAAGAAAGCTCTTCTGGGCTTTGGAGGCAGAGAGACCTGGGTTTGTATCTTGGCAGTGTGCCTTACTTATGACCTTGGCCTTGGCCATGTGACCTTTTTCATGAACACGCTTCCACTGAATCAAGAATGGATGAATGGGTGCATGCTTGCATCAGTGAGGTCACGTATATAAAGCCTGACCTGTGTGCTAAATACTCGACAAATGATAGTTTTCTCTCCTGATCCTCGTGTCCTGTTCCTCAGCCAGTGTACCTGGGGAGTGACTTCAGTAGAGTGGGGTCTTGCATTGCCTGAGTTCCGTGTTCCATGCTACAGGCTCACATGGGGGTGGGTGTGGACTTGGTCAGCTGCTTCTCCTCTTTCTGCCTGTTTCCTCATCTGTAAAATGGGTGTTGTGATAGTATGTATCTTGGAAGGATTAAATGACTTGGAAGACTTCATGTGATGCCTGGAAAATAGTAAATGTTTATACTTGTTAACCTGAGTGTTCCCCAAGTACACAGTACTGAGTATGTGCTGCTCTGAATGGAACATGTATTGCAGAGTACCTGACACAGAACGGGCACCTAACAGATTGTTGGATTCAAATAACCTGAGCAGAGCACATGTCAGCATCCTGAGTTTGTGAGCACTGGAACCAGTGAGTGCATCTTTCCATCATGAAGGAACGGTTCTCGAAGGCATTCTGGAAACGTGCGCTTGCTAACGTAGCCTTTCCAGTGATGATCTCTAAGACAGAGAGTTTATGAATATTTATAGGATGCACATTGTGTATTTTTCTTTACACAGATTCTCCTCCTGCCTTGGGTCTAAATTGCCAATTTTAAAATATATTTTTCTAACATTCTTGTACCTGCAGGGAAAACGAGGTGCTCAAAGTCCAACTGAAGAAATATGTAGGCGCTGTCCAGATGCTGAAAAGAGAAGGCCAAACAGCTGAAGGTGAGGGGCAGACTGAGCCCAGGTGGGGAGGGGGCTGCGTTTCATCCTCATCGCCCCAGCTGGCTGGCAGAGCAGACGCTCAGCATGTGGTGAGTGCACGTGCAGATGAGTTAGAAAAAACAGTGCTGGTTTTTTGAATTCCGGAAGACTAATTAGATGGAAAACCCTGCTCTGTAGTCTTGCTAAGTGCATAATCATGTAAGACTTACTTGCTAGATTATTAGCAATGGTTGTATCAATTTGTGTACTTAGGGAATTTTATGTCTAGAGTCTTGAGACATTTGCAAGGTAATGAACCTGCAGCAGGATTAAGTCACGCCAGGCCAGGGGTGAGAGCAACAGAACGGCAAAGTGCAGAGAATCAGAGCCAGCCTCCAACCCCAGCTCTGGCTAAATTTCTTAATGTCTCTGTACCTCGGTTTTCTTACCTATAAAATGGGGTTAGTTGACAACGCCTACCTCCTGGGGCAATCCATGTAGACGTCTTAGCATAACGCCTACCACAGAGTGAGTACTGAGTATATTTTAGATATAATTAGTAATATTCTTGATCAGAGCACCAGTAGATAGAAAAATGATCACTTGGCCAAGATGCCACTAGATGAGGTGGTGCTGATGCTCCCTCCCTGTGCGGTTTGCCTGCATGTTAACTGTCAGGACTCGACTAAAACATTTCTCAGTTCGCCCTGAAGGGGGGATGTTTAACTTTGGCTGAAGTGTCTTGTTTAGTGAGTGGGTGTCTCCTCCATCCTGTCTGCCCATCTGGAGAAAGGCTGCGTCAACGGAAGGAAGGCTTGTTTCACCCGTAGCTGTACACCTTTCTGCAAGGGTGTCACTTCAACCTAGACCCTGTACATGTCCCCAGGAAAAAGGCAGTCATGGCCAAAATGGCTTGGGAAACAATAGGCATTCTGCATTCTTCTTGTACGTCACGATGGACATTAGTGAATGGACGACTTCTGTGGTAAAGACACTGAGGGCTCCCTGGGCAGCTGACTTACAGGCCATGTAACCTTTCTGTACCTCCGTTTCTTTTTCTGTAAAATGGGAGTTGTAATAGTACTGTCCTCATAGGGTTTTGGGGGAAGGTGAGCTGGATTAGTACACGGAAAGCACTTAGAATAATGTCTGGTATGTAGTAGTCCCTCAACAAATGTTATCATTATTATTATTACTATTCTTACCATCTCACTTTACCTCTCACGGCCCCTTTGAACAATCATAAAATTAGGATTGTTGGTGTCGCGATACCATGTACACATACACACCGTATGTGGAGAGAGCTGATGGCTACTCTGAAGCTTTATTAAGTTACACAGTCTTATATAGCAAAGAAGAATGACAAGGGGAATGGTTAACAGGCAGTGTCTGGCTCAAGGTCAGAAGACTGTGTTTTGGTAAATCATGTTCGTGTTGGCACCAGCGAGTCTTACAGCTTATCAGGTAGGAATGTATGAGAAACAGCTGCTTAACAATGTTC